GGCATATAATTTTTTTAAGCTTATTTTGGTGTGCAAGGCTAAAAGGATATTGTGCCTTCGTGGAATAATGCATTTTATAGTGGGATCCCCTCCACCACCACTTTCTTTKCTTTGCTTCCTGGAAAAGAATTTCAAACAATCCATGAATCAACTTGAATGCATCTGACTGGCATCAATCTTATAAAAATCCAACAGGATGTGAGAAAGAGAAGGAGGGAGAGGTAAGGAGCTGGGTGACAGACAGACAGACAGACAGACTTATTGACTGTCTCTCAAGCCTCGGGCGAGGTAAGCGCTCTGCAGGTGCTTCTGCTGGCAACAACGTTGCGTTCAGCTCACTTAGTCCCCCCCAAAATCCCGTTAGAGCAGCCTGTAATTATCTGCTGCCCTGCCGTAACGTGTTCTCGTGATGCGTAAACACACGCCCGGATTGAAGCGGCTCAAAGTTGCCGTTTGTATTCTTAGTCACACGTTTTAATTAATCTCGACAGGAGGTGATTTATGGAAAAGCTCGAGAGTGAGAGAGAAAAAGCCTACCTTCTTCGACTCGAGCGGAGGGCATGCCTCGGCTTCTTCCACCGGGGAGGGCTTCCCCTAACCCACCGCCAGAACTTTCAGCAGGCGAGTGGCTGGCATCGAGCTCCCCACGACTAAAGGCAGAAAAGAATAAATCTATAAATAAATCWGACTGTTGTTAGACTTCAGAGAAGTCCACTTTGCGCTTCCGTTTTTCTTCAGAGGTGATTTACGTCAATTGTCAGCCAGCTTTAGTTGCCAACCGGTCACTTTTTATGTGTGTGTGGGGAGGGGGAGGGGGGGTGCGTTTGTTGTCGAAACTACAGTGCGCAGATTTCTGACGCTTTTGCGCCCTCTGGTGGAGATATAGGATAGCGCAGCAGAAATCAATTTAATTCCTTTTTCATCAACACTCTTGTTTTTTCTCCCTCCAATTTTTGCAAAAGTTTAAGTGGCAAAGCATCAGCCGAGATGTGCACATCTAAAAGCAGCATGTTAGTTTGACACGTTTTGCAGARCACGTTATCTTTAAACACTTTGTCCACACTACCTTTAAAATAACATCATTGATGAACAATGTCTCCCACCCCATGCATGAAGCTGTGGCTGAACTGGAGAGGCTCCTTCAGCGACAGACTGCTGCATCTGAGGTGCACAAAGGAGCGTTATCGCAGATCCTTCCTCCCAGCAGCTGTCAGACTGAATAACCAGCACCACGCCCAAAAATCACAATAAGTGTTTACAAAAATCACAATAAGTGTTTACAAAAATCACAATAAGTGTTTACAAAAATCACAATAAGTGTTTACAAAAATCACAATAAGTGTTTACACACCTGCTGCTGCGCAATCATTTGTACTGTTACTATTCATTGTAATTACTCAACTGAACAATTATTTGCACTACTCTGCTGTAATTGCACATCTGTGTTTCTTGTCTGCATTGTGACACTTCACTTTACAGTTATTGGTATGTTGAGATTGTTTTGCACTGAAAACAGGCAATTTCTGATTCCTGTAATGTCAGATTCTGATTGTCTACTGTCTCTAAAACAAAACATCTTTTTCTATCCTTGCACAATTCTTTATATATTTTATTAGTAGTAATTGTATTATGGCTATCAGTTTGTTCTGTGTATACTAGCTATAGTTTGTAAAGTAACGTGTGAACATCTATACAGATGCTGCTGTGACACCTCAATTTCTCGACTGTGGGACAATAAAGGCCATTTCTATTCTATTCTATTCTATTCTATCTGCTTTAGACACACTAAATATATCATGGCGTCACTTCTTTGACAGTTTTAAGCACAGTTTTTTCCATTTTGCTACAGGTGATAACTTCCATCAGATGCTWCTCTGAAAACACACCACGCAGGTGTAAACACCACCGATGCGGCAGTGCATGGATGGAATTGGCGCATAAAGAGTTTTTTTTCCCATGATGCCTTGCAAATGGCATGATGCATTTATTTCTACACAGATGTTGAACTTAGTTATAAAAATAAATATATATTTCAGACTTAATGACTGACTTGAATAACTTGTAAATCTTTTCATGAGTTGACTGCATCGTGCTTTTTGTATACCATACTAAAATTTGTCATTAAGAAAGTCTTTAAGGTTTAGCCCATATGGTTAAAAAGAATTGGATGAAAAATGTATGCTTGACARTAAGCTGTAGTTTTTATAAAGGAGTGATATTTTTATKACAATGTTTTATTTTGCAAAAAAMGGGTGAGGTGTTCCATTATGTTGTATTGTGATTGTGCTAAATGAGTGTAAAGTGTTTGGGGAAAGTATTTACTTAAAAATAAGAAAAAAGTGTGACACTTGTGGTAGTAGCTTATTTATATTAAAGTATTTTGGTCACAGAAGTATCTCACAAGTCATTRTTTTCTTATAATATTGTATTTAATATCTAAGCTCAAACCATTTGCTGATCATTGAAATGTTTTATTCAGTGGCACAACACAATCCTTCATTTCAAATCCATGCTGTCAAGGCAGATGTCTGTCCATTGTGATTCTGGCTCTGAAGATTTTTTCTTATTAAAAGGAAGTTTTTCCTTTCCACCAACGTGCTGCTCAGGATGAGAAACTGTGACGAAGTGAAGATTCATCACAATCTGCTGGCTTCCCTCCTCAGATTGATTGTTTTAGTATACTGTAGTGCTCCGACTCATTAGTTGTGACTTGGCACTATGTAAATAAACTGAACTGAACTGAACTGAATAAAAAAGTTAAAACACATATACAGTACCATAATGTTAGCACAAAAACTGATCCTCTGATAAAGTCACTCACAAGAAGTGAAATTAAATAAAAAGCTTTAATTGTAAACAAAAGTCACTAAATTTTATTTAACAAACCTTTAAGAAAAAAACTGTTAAGAAAAACAAATTTTAATCATTCATGAATCCTTGACCATGGGCCTAAAAATGCTTTAATTAGTTCCTTATTATATTATATTTATGTACAGTCAGGGCCAAAGACACTGAGTATGATGTGCAGGCCTATCACAAGGTTTGCAACCAAAGGGGTTTATTATCTTGTCATATGTGTTTATACCTGCATACAGGCAAATTCCCAAATTAAAAAAATATCTCTACAAATCTTGAGACAAAAAAGTTTTGTGTCATTCTCAAGGTTGAAAGTGAGTATCAAAAGAGTAAGACTGTCCCAATACCCACAATTTATCTATCTATCTAATCTATCTATCTATCTATCT